GAGAGAGAGAGAGAGAGAGAGAGAGAGAGAGAGAGAGAGAGAGAGAGAGAGAGAGAGAGAGAGAGAGACTTACATTTCGCTGAGTCGTGTCATGTTACCAAGTGCATCAGGCAATGGCCCAGTGAGCCTATTCGTCCTTATTCTCCTGGCAGTTCCCAACAACAACAACAACAACAACAACAACAACAATAACTCGATACTTCAGAAGTTTCTTTGCCATTGGCATGCACAAGGACTTCAATAACGTCTACTTGGGCCTCCCAGCCATGATGGGGAGGAGCGTGAGTGAGCACAATCGCGTATGTTCCTTTCACTCTTGGTGGAATAGGAACCAGACTGATGCTCCCCAGAATTGAATGGAGCCMGAACCGTGAGGTTCTSTTTTTGTTTTAGAAAATAATAATAATAATAAATTACTGTGCACTTTCGTCAGTAAATAATCATTTGTCATAGAGGCAACAATATTATGTAGTACAAAACCACAGACATAACATCCATGAGACATCCTACGACTGATGGATAGCTACAAGAGATGAACACTGTGTTCATAGTGTTTATGAGGTTGCATTCAGAGCCAGCATTTCTTTTATCGAATTCTCACCATTCAATCAATCTTTGTTAAAACTCTTGATCACCATTGTCCACAGTAAACAAACTGATTGGGATAAACATCTGCAGACAGCAGCCAGTTTGTGTCACTAATATGTTTATACCGCTTCACAACCAATTGCATTTCCACTGGAGTGCAATGACTTGCTGATTTTGACTGCCGAGACTGTCTGCGAGGCCGTACAGTAACAGACGTAGGTTAGATTCGTCATTTTGTTGGGCTGAGGTCTAACCGAGAGACCTACCTGTAGGGAAAATTGGTTAGGGACATATCTGCAAATATGGGAAATATAGGCCCAGCACTAAGCCGAATTTCCTACAGCTACCCCTACTGCGTATAGCAGACCCGGGCTACCCCTAGGACGGACAGGCCCGAAGGGGCCTATACCGATAGACAGTCCTATAGCCTCTAGCCAGGTAGGGAGAGGCCGAGAGGCCGAAACTGGAACGGTACTGGTCGGTCCAGTCAGTCTAGGTCTAGGCTAGAGTAGTAGAGTTCTATTAAGAGATTAGGAAAAGAGATTCGGGACTTTTGGCTGTTCATTTTTCACAAAGCAGCGTTTGGAGAAGCCAAGCAAGTTGGTGGCGGTGATTGTCTACAGGCGGCATCCTGAGACCCTCGCCGTAGACGGCAGCCATAGCCGGCCCTTCTGAAGGTTGCCAGAGATGGGGCATCCTCAGCGCATCTACCCCTGAGGGTATCTGCGTCTGGCCGGGCTATCTTGWGGCTCTTCACTGAGCGTTTGTGGGTGGCGGCAGCCCTTTTCTTCGTCAGAGTTGTTCAGCGGCACTGAAGACTTCATCGCAGGATCTGTTCTTCATCTGGGTGGTTGGCGCTGGCCTCTGGGAGGCTGTTTCGGTTGTGCGCTACTAACTGGGTGTAGGGTAGAGAGTGGAGAGTGGGGTTCTGAGTGTGATACTGGAACAAACTCTGTAACAATATCCGGTTTTAATTGGCTCTTCATCAGTGTGAATTCCAATTGTTATCCTCGCAGGTTTCTTCTTGTGATTGGTTGTTGGGAGTTTGTCAGAGAGTGAGAATCACGCAGTGTCTTCTCCCCATCTGTGCATGGCTGAACTTCCGCTACATACTCTGATCTGTGTACAGTTGGATGCTGTCTCCTCTCCCCCTTCTCTTATGCATGTATGGGCGTGTATGAGACTATCTGTGTGTGAGTGGCGGTAAAAATTGTCAGACAACAAAGTTCATAACAGTTGGYATCGGAGCGGGATTGGAATTGGAGCACTGAGGGTTGAGTGCAATAGTGGCATCTTCTTCGTCTGGCGATATACTGGCGAGAGGTTCATGGCGATTCATCTTCCCCAGTACTGAGTCAGCAGGGAAGAAGAGTTCAAGCGGTGAATTCAAGAGTTCAGTGTTCGTACTGAGCAAGCGCACTGAGCCTGTCGGGGTGCTTGTGCAATCAGACTCGACTTATTCACACTTTTCATGTATGTAAACAGCGGCACAACAACTGGCGACATGCGCCCACACAGTACTCAGAGATATGGCTTCCAGGTAACAGTTCACTTCCGCTGGCTATGGAGACTGAGCGCCCAAACAACTTGCTGTTCACACACTGGATCACCCTGGATATCCCACACGCATCACCCGGAACCCTCACACAACACACACACTGCACACTCAGCTACAGCTATGGCGGCTATGGCCGCCGCTAACCTATCGCTATGGCTACACTACGTCACTCTCGCCCACTTCGTCGTCAGACCTCCTGCAGACCTCCTTGCACAAGACGCTGAGGCAGCGCTTCCGCATGGCTTCCGCATGAATGAATGAATGGCCGGGCGCGGCCTCCTGATTTATACTTCTGTGATGCGTTGGTCTGCCCTGTACCCTTGGCCCATGGTGCACACAGTCCCAGACGGTACTTGCTTGACAGGACCGGACTGACTGGACTGGGACTGTTGACTCAGCGTGGCGGCTCTACACCACTTGCCCACTTGCCTCTGCCTAAACTRGGGCTGACTCCGAAAGGCCACCTCTAGAACCTTCTAGTTGGCCTTTCGGTACTGTAGCAGCTACGACTCTGCCCTTTCAGGTAAGTAGCACCTACGACTTTGACCCTTTGGAAAGTCTACAGCTAAGACCTCTGGACTGTCTAGACTCCTACCCGACAGGTCTACAGTTCGAATCCCGTATACCCTGTAACCTACGAAGGCCTCCCTACCACTGGCGGTCCTACAGGTCGCAGGTTCAATTCTACGGGTTGACACAGGTACTATACACAGGTAAGGTGGGGAACTAGGGATCGAGCCCTGGGATCTGCATCAGCTACTGCGAACTGGTGAATACCGTTTCACTCGCGCCGGCCTGAATTCGAGGTCCTCCGAGAATATTTTAGTCCAAGGGAAGACCTTTACCCTTCTTGTCCCGTTCATAAGCGTGAACTATGTCGGGAGCTGTTTCTAGAAGTTCGGATCTAGTAAACCACCGGCCGTCTTCTGGTTCTTGATAAGCAAATTTGACTTTATACTGTTTCTGAGGACGACCCCTACCTCCCGTCCTAAACACATCTTCACCCACAATGTCGTCAATGTCGTACCTCCCGTCCATGTCAGGTGGAATCATGGATCGCCTAGACGGAAATTGATCACTTACCGTGAACGGCAACAACTTTGACGCATGGAAAACTGGGTAGGTGTGGAGGTGTAGTGGAAGCTCAATGGTGTAGGACGGACCATCCTCACCACCTTTGACTTCTAGAACTGGCCATGGTCCTCTATGCGTAGGCAGTAACTTCTGCGAGATGTTATCCTCAGGAGCAAACTCTTTAGCACTGACCCAGACTAAGTCGCCTACTTGGAACTGTGAAGGGCGACGATGCTTGTTGGCTTGCTCTATCATTCTGTGCTGGGCCTTCCTGAGGTTTTCTACAACAGTGGCTAACTCTTTCTCGTGCTGTATAGCAAACTCCCGAGTACCGGGTGGTAGCCTATGAATCTGATCCCGGTTAAATCCCTCAAACGGTCTGCGCGGTCTAAAGGACTTGTGCAGTTCGTTGGGAGTGCGGCACGTAGACAGGTGCACACTATTGTTGTAAGCATTGGCTACCTTGGGAAGCATCTCATCCCAATTGATCTGATCTGGTCTAATGTACATGCRCAGAACTTGCTGTAGGATCTTGTTCATTTGTTCTGTCTGACCRTTGGTCTCGGGATGGCGGCCAGACGACATCAACAACTTAGACCCATATACTCTCATGAGTTCTTGCCAGTTCTGGCTGGTGAAGCGGCTGTCTCTATCGCTAACTATTGACAGCGGGATCCCATTTTCACTAATCCAGCAGTCAAAGAACTTYTGTACTACYAAGTCTGTACGAGCMTCTGAAGGCAAGGGAACGAAAACTGCGTATTTACTAAACCTATCAACTATCACCATGACTTGGCTCTTGCCATGTCTACTCTTGACTTGGGTGTCCATAAAGTCTATGGACACTGAGTCCCCCGGCTGATCCGAAATGMGTAAGGGTCTGAGAAGACCTAATGGGGCACGCGTTTTTCATTCAGAATTTGCTTGCTCCTTCCACCCTCAACAYGCAATACCCCCTGACRTGAGACTCAAGAAGGACCCCCATAGACCAGGCARATGGCTTCCTGCTGTTGYAGGCTTTGAGGGYTGGGTTTAKTGGGAGGACTTGAATACGGCAGGCCATCCAATGGGATGGGTCTGGGAGGGTAGGAATGGGTCTCATAAACCCCCCCGTCCCCCATCTGACTGGATGCCCCCCCAGTCCCAGTCCCCTCAAACACAGTCAGGCACCCCAATGAGAAAAGGGCGGGGAGATAATCATGGAGGTGTGGACGTGGCGGTTTCTACTAGTCCTGGGGGGGCTAAGACAGGAGGAAGGATGGACAAACAAAAGTATAAAGGTCCCCACTTCTTCCCAGGCACTCACTCCAGATAGGTTCCCTGGACCTAAACCAGCAGATTATTTGCCAAAAAATGGAATGGAAGGTTGTCAAGAAGAGAGGGTCTGCCAAACAGGTGACCCTGAACCCAGGAGAGGTAAGTGCTGGTAATGCTCCCCCTACCGATCCTTCAATCAGTGGAAACCCCCCTGGGGGCATAGAAGTTGCCCCGATGGACATTGATCCTCTCAAGGATGCATTTGGCACAGAACCAATGGAAATTGAGGTAGTTGATCCCATTGTCCCCCCCCCATCGATTGAAATAGTCATGACGTCTACTAACGATGTAGTTCCTGTGCCCTCCATAGTCAATACGGTTATTTTACAAATTGCTGATTGGCTGCTTTTCAATCTCAAAGCCAGCACCCAGATATACCTTTGGATAACTGGCCCCGTTTTTTGCAAGAACTCATCCCAGTGTTGGAAAGTAGTAAGAGTTTAGAATCCTTCCTAATGCACGGCCCCCCAAGAGGGGTATCATGGGTAGACATCAGTTCCAAGCTACTCCACATTGTCTCTAATCGTTTCAATGAGGGATTCTTGCTCAAAATTATTCCTGCTTCCAGTACCCACCCAATGTTGAGTCAATCAGAAGTAAGGAATGAAGAAGGACCCATTGGGCACCTGGGTAGTGATCCTGATGACTCGATTGGCATTAAAAAAAATACCTCCTCAGGGAACTCGGGTCTCAAACCACCCCTTCAAATAGTGCAGCAGGAAGGTCAAAGCCAAGTTTTCAAGGAAGTCATATCAATGCTCACAGGGGAGAAAAAATTTATGCAAATCTCTCAAAAGCAGCAGCCCTCGTCGCAAAAGAAGCATAGCCAAGGTCTCATTGAGTGGGATCCCGAATCGTTGGATGTGCAGGAGAATAAGGTGCCTCTTGTACCACCTACTATTGAGCTGACTCTTGAGGACATTATGTCCGAAAGTTCCCAGAATGATGTGCCCAAGGATCAGCCGTCCAAAGAAGTATTGTTGGATCATCCTAAGATAACCATTGACGCTCAGTTTGTCGTGGTCATTGAGGATGATCAGGAGGTCACACTTAATTCTCAAATCTCGCTCTCCCCTCAACCTCCTTCTTTGGATTTGGAGTCGGAACTAACCTGTAAGAGACAAAGACTGAAACATCGCATGGCCAAAGGACAAGGACAACTTTCCCCCACAAAAATGGGAACAACACTCCTGCCAGTGAGAAACCAAGGAGGAATATGGGAGGTAGGTTTATCTGAACCTCAGGCCGCAGCCTATGGGGAAGTAACATTACTAGGATCTGCTTCGCCCCCCCCCTCTCCTTCTTCCCAAGCGAAAGACATCCTTAACTACGCTAAGTCAAATTTCCCATCAGGAGGTAAGGCACTGTTATCGATATATGAGGGAGAAGGAAGATTAGCGGAAGGAGATGTGTTTCTAAAATATGATGCTACTAAGAATACGGGTCTCAAATGGTTCAGTCAGGATACCCTGAGTGAGCTTCAACTCCTCAAGATAAAAGCTAATGAATTTTGRTCYGAAMCTGATGTCGGCACTYTGCKAATTAGGATGCTTGCTCAGAGGACATTGATGACAGGTGGGGTATTGGATACTGRCAATGGCTGAAGYTCTGACTTATCCTTTGTCCWGTTATSCAAAACATAACTCACTRCTTATTGTATTAGTATCAAATGGATTCTAGAGTAATAGATGTCCTTTATAACAAAGATAAAGATTGGAAAATTCTTAGAAGGAACGCGGACATCGACATCAGATCTTGGAATGTTAATGGACTAGCTTCGGCTAAGTCTCAAAAAAAGAATGCCGTCTTTGACCAATTGAAAGGCATAGGGGGAAGAGAGTGGCCGGATGTTATTTGCATTCAGGAAACTCATCTTATGGATTCAGATCAGCATAATTACTGTCATAAACAAATTTGGCCTTATACAGCCATCAGGGCCCATGCCCCCCGTCCTGGCAGTGTTGGATTCGCTATCTGGATCCCTCTAGGATCCAAGCTAGACCCGGGTTATTGGGATGTTGATAAAACAGAAGGTAGGTGGGCATATATCCTGGCAATGCTGGAACTGAAAATTATCGGCATTCTTTGTATATATGCTCCCAATGATATTGGGGAGCGTCAACGATTTTTTGATTCCATCCCCCCCATTCTCCCTATAGGGATTCCGATCATCATAGCAGGAGATTTTAATGCTGCCCCAGATAGATCTCTTGACAGATAGAATATTCCTCACCCTTGTCCAACTTATGTGGAGGCTGATGAGATTATGTTGACCAATTTAGTCCACAACTTAAATCTCTTTGATTCATTTAGGCGTTTGAATCCATTGAAGTATACTTACACATGCTTTCGAAGGAATCAAGCCAGATCACTCACCAAGTCTCGTATAGATCTTATCTTTATCTCAGAGGATTTGGAAGGTGCGCTCCAGATGGCAGAAATCTTTCCACGGAGTCCCCTTCTGGGCCTGGATCATGCCATGTGTGTAGCCATCCTTTCTTTTGGGAAGAAACCAGATCAAGGAAGAGGTTTTTATAAACTTAATACAACTCATCTTAAGAATGACTCCTTTAGATCCTTTATTAAGGATGTATGGTCATATTGGAGAAATCAGAGGGTCATTTTAGGAAATAAGGTACTCTGGTTCAATAATGGGTTACTTTTTTTAAGTCGTAAATGCAATGAATACTCGAAAGCGTTGGCTATGGAACGTCATTCTTCTAAAACTAGTATATATCAGCGTATTCATCAATTGCAACAAGCAGAAGATGAGGAAAGAGACCTAGAAATGCAAAATGAAATGGCTAAAGAAATTCAAGACCTTGAAGGCCAATTACTTAAATATATGGAATATAGATGGCAAGGTATGAAGATCCGGGGTGGAATTCGAAAATTTCATACGGAGGGAGCCATGGATGCAAGATTTTTCGCCATGGCCAAAGTACGGACAGGTAGAACTTTAATAGAGGCTTTAGCACATCCTCATTCTCTAAATGGACCACTAGAAGTATCAACAACATGATGTACTAAAATTGCTAGAGACTTCTTCAAGGATTTGTTCCTTTCGGAAAACAAAGACATTCCCTTGGATAAACGCACAAAGGAAATAGAAGAGTTTCTCATCCCTTTATCTAAGTCACTATCTCACCATCAGAGAGAACAATTGGAGTTGCCCCTAACAAAAGATGAAATATGGACTGCCCTATTATTAATGGAAGAAGACAAGACCCCAAGGATTGATGGTCTTCCAAAAGAACTCTGGGAGGTCTTGTGGGAATTCATCTCCCAAGATCTCATGGACTTCTATCAGGCAGTATGAGACTCAGGTGATATGGGGGAGATAATAGGGCAAGGGGTGTTGATCCTACTATATAAGAAAGGTGATAACTATAACATTAGGAATTACAGACCTATCACTCTGCTCACTGTGGTTTATAAGTTGATTTCAAAAGCTCTTACGATTCGCCTTAATAAATACATTGTGGATATTATTCATCCCTTGCAAACTGGATTTATTCAAGGAAGGAATCTCCAAGATAATATTTTGCTCATAAATGAACTCATGAAAATCTCTCGTCAGTCTAAGCATAATGCGGCTTTTATATTTATTGACTTTGAGAAAGCATATGACCATGTGGATTGGTTTTTCTTAGATAAATGTCTGGAAAAGTTTAGGAGATGGATTAATATTTTGCATAAGAATGCCACAACACGAGTTATGGTCAACAGAAATGTAGCACCCCCCATTTCTCTTCAGAGATCTGTAAGGCAAGGTGACCCAATTGCTCCTCTTCTCTTTGTGATAATTATGGAAGCCTTAGCAGCTAACATAAGACATGATAAAGACATCAGGCGTATCCAGGTCTCCTCTATTCCTGAGGAAGCGGTCCCAGTTTGTTCTCTTTGCTGATGACCTCTCTCTGATGGTTGATGCTTCACATGAAAATTTAGAAGCCATCAAAAGACTACTGGATACATTCTGTAAACTCTTTGATATGAAGGTCAATTGGGGGAATAAAACACTAGGTTGGTGGATCCATCATCAAGGAGTGAGACCCCCGGAACCTTCTTGCATTAAGTGTGTACACCACAACGAACCAATCAGAGTGCTAGGAGTATCCCTTTCAGTTACAGGTAAACCCATCTCTACCAATGAAGGGATCCTACAACAGGCAAGGTTGAAACTTGAGTTGTGGAAGGATAAACAGACATCCCTGTTTGGTAGAACCTTAATAATTAATAATGTCATATTGGCCTCCATATGGTATAGATCGACTTTTTGGGCTTTGGATAAAGATAATCTTAAACTCTTCAAGAGGCAGTTAGCGGCCTTCTTGTGGCGTGAGGATCATGAAAGATCCGATGTCATTAGCAGAGTGGCCTGGTCGTCAATTATCCAACCTAAAGAAAAAGGGGGACTTGGGATAATCGGTCCCCGGATTCAATCTATGGCTTCTCTTCAATGGATCAAACGTCTTATATTCAATCCCAACACCCCTTGGTCCTTCCTAGCCTTTGAACAGATAAAAAGGTTAGCTCCTCCGGTCCTTGATCACATAGATCCCCTAATGTGGCTGGAAAACCTTGCATGGTCTTTACCTAGAGGCTCTCAAGGGGACCTAAATCAGGAGGAGACTTCAGATAGGCAGGCAATTAGAAGAGATCTTAGGCGGGATGCATTTTGGATCATACTTATAAAGAATTGGAGAAAGATGCCTATCCCAGATAAAGTTTTCCCGTCGCGATGGGAAGAAGTTTGTCAGCAGCCTCTTTTCAACAATACTTTTATTAGGGATAACCAAGGGTGTGTTCTGCATTGTATGGATGCCCCCTGGAAAAGTTGGATTAGCAGGGGAATAATAAGGGTTAGAGATCTATGGAATCAAGAGAGCGGAGACTGGTGGTCGGCTTTGGATCTGCATGAGCAGCTTAGATATAATCACCATCAGACTTCCACTCTAGATTCGATAATTGAATTAATTCCACTAGAGTGGATCAGAATCCTACGGAAGGGTCCCAAACTTATTGAAAATGATTGGGTAGCGTTTCATAATATTAAGGGCATAGTCAGTAATATAATTGAGATCCATAACCCGAATCAAATTCTTCTATCAATTTTCCAAATTCAAGATGATGGCATTCTCTACCGGGGTCAACAGGAGGAAACTAGTTGGATCTCGACTGACAACTCTTCAGGATTAGAGTGTTGAAGATTGATGAAAAATGACTTGCCTTTAGACCAGACACCCCTATCTCTCATCTTCCTTTTGACCCCATTAGCTGGTGCTGGTCACTCCCTGGGAAACGTAGTCAATCTCACCCTAGAAACCTACACACCCTCACAGTCAAAGCATCATACAAGATGCTCCGTCCTAGGTTTAACTTAAGAGACCGTATTGAAGAAAGATGGCATAAGAATCTTAATGTTAGTAAAGACGAGTTGAGAAGAATTAAATGGTTCCAAGCTTCTAAAACTAAACCAGCCAAAATTGTTTCTCTTCAATGGCAAATTGCTCATAGATGTCTTCCCACGAATGATTGGATCATTGATAGGTCATCTCTTGAACAGAAGGGCATTGCCTTTCCATGGTGTAAGTTTTGTAAATCAGCCTTTCCATCCGAGTTCATCCCCGAAACTATAGAGCATATTTTTCTCCAATGCCCGGGGTCAATCTGGCTTTGGAGATGGTGGGATAGAATCTGGAATCAAATGAATACTTCTCAACCCTGGCCTTGGGAATGGAAAACCCTCCTATTAGAATCATGGCACCCGGACCAAGGAGATGACTTCACAATCAACATGTTCTTAATAGGTAGGAGAGCGATCATATGGGCAATTTGGACAAGGAGATGTACCTTTGAAATGGAGGGAGCACGATTGGACGGGCCATCATTTACTGAAACTATCAAACAAAGGTACAAAATGATTTAACTATCAAATGGGAACAAGTTAAAGAAAAAATTCAGCTTCTATCTGATCCAAATGAGATTTGGGTTCACATTAATCAATTTAATAGAAGTTGGTTGGGAGGTGACCAGGGTGGGAGGCTGGGGAAAGTAATTTGGGAAGGTGGACACGCAAAAGCCCAGGAATCCCTTAAAAAAAAATTCGGCTTGTCTTTAATGATTGGACTACCGTTGACTCCTCTATCCCTCAAAAGTCCATGGCTGAATTTCCTGATTTCTTCCCTCCCCCAAGTAATTGTCTTGTGCCCATTGCTTGGTTTGGATAGTTAGCTGGTAAAGTGCTTGGGATTCATGATTATTTGGCGCCCATTAAGGGTGAAGAGGTACTATGCTAGTTGACTTTCTTCTGTTGATCGTGGATATCAGATGAATAGTGCATTGTCCAGTGGTTACCAATGTAGTATTGGCTCATTTTCTATTCTAAGCAGGTTCCCACTGGTTACCCCCGGGTAGATTGTGAGGACCCCGGCCTCAATCATCATATTGATAATATCAGCCTTGGGCATTGGACCCGTTCTTAAAAAAAAAAAAAAAAAAAAAAAAAAAAAAAAAACTCTATGCAGTCATTCTTCATTCCGGGCCAGGTATACGCATGCATTAGATTGGCTAGAGTCTTTTGCCAACCGAAATGACCCTCTGTGTCGTGACATTCTCCTAGGATCAAACTGCGGATCTCTTCACTATTAGGAATGCACAACCGGTCGAACACATTAGTCTTCTCAAAAAGAAACTCTTCAGTAGTGCGGTAATTTGGTTCAGTCTCTGGGGCCTCTTTGACTCTCTTGAGGAGGTCGCTATAGATAGGGTCCTGCGCGTAGGCTTCTCTAACCTTCTGCTGCAGATCTCTCCCTATATCTAGATAATGCATTATCGCCCCAAAGTAATCAGCTCTCCTACTCAGAGCATCCGCAACTACGTTATACTTCCCTTTGACTGGCTTGAGCTCAAATCATACTGATGTATTTCTGCGGCCCACCTAGTAAGCTTAGGTGTCATCTTGGCCTGCGTCTTCAACCATCGCAATGTCTCGTGGTCAGAATAGACTTTGAAGTGCCTCCCAAGCAAGTAGTGCTTCCAGTGTTCTAAGGCTTGCCTGAGAGCGTAGAGTTCCCTCTCATAGGTAGATGTCGCAACCTTCTCTGAAGGCATCCTAGCAGACATGAACTCTACGGGCCTATAACCGTTGCCATCGTCTTGCTGTAACACTGCACCTATGTCGTATTGACTGGCGTCCGTAGTAACGACAAAGGGTAAGGACGGATCGGCCACTTTAAGGACAGGGTATTCTATCAACGCCTGTTTCAACTTCTTCATAACAGACGTGCAGTCCTTGTCCCACTTCCAGATGGTCTCTTTCCTTAGCAATCTGCGAAGGGGCGCAGCGATAGTGGAGAAGTTCCTCACGAACTTCCTATAGTAGTTAGCTAAGCCCAAAAACRACCGCAATTCTGTCARCGTGCKCRGTGTGGGCCAATCTCTAATCGCTGCGATTTTGCAATCTTCTGGCTTGACGCCGTCTCCGTSTAAGACRTGGCCCAAATATAAGACTTGGGTCTTCGCMCAATCGCACKTCTTTGCATTGATCTTGAAGTTAGCTTCCCTCAGCTTCTCCAAGACCTGCCTGAGATGACCCTGGTGCTCTTCGAGGGTCTTACTAAACACTAAAATGTCATCTAAGTAGACTACAACAAATGTATCTAACCATGACCTAAACAAATCATTCATACATCGTTGAAAAGTTGCTGGCGCATTGGTTGGTCCAAAGGGCATCACTATGAACTCATAGTGCCCATACCTAGTCTGGAAGGTTGTCTTATACTGATCATCAGGATGTACCTCTATCTGATGATATCCGGACTTTAAATCTATCTTAGAGAAGTACTTGGCCCCCTGCACTCGATCTAAGAGATCGTCTATTCTAGGCAGTGGCTCAGCATTCTTCACTGTGATAGCATTCAGACCCCGATAGTCTATGCACATCCTTAGCTCTCCCTCCTTCTTGGGGACAAACAGAACAGGTGCTCCAAATGGAGACGAACTGGGCCTAATCCAACCCTTCTCTAGGAGCTCGTCCAATTGCTTGCGAAGCTCCTCTAGCTCCCGCGGGGACATCCTATACACAGCTCCCTTAGGAGTTCTACTGCCAGGTTCTATCTCAATGCGGTGCTGGATGGGCCGCGACACTGTTCGTGTCGGCGGCTCGACTAAGTCCTTGAACTCTTCCAGCAGTTGGGCAATAGCAGGGTCTATGGGCTTCTCCTCCTTAGGCTAAGTGACTGGCCTGACATAGGCTACAAAAACCTGTTCCTCTAGCTGCTCCTTTTTCACTAGCCTCGCAAACGCAGGAGCGCGAAGGCAGTAGTGTGCCAGGGGGTTATCTACTCCTGACACGTGGAACAGGCGGGCAGTCTTGACACCGCCTGACGGGCTAGGGAGCCTACACTCGTGCTCTCTCAAGTGGAGTGTGGCCCCGGCTGCCTCTCCCCAGTCCATACCCAGAACTATGTCGAAGGGGAGGCTATCCTCTGCGAGGAGAGTCAATGAATGGAGGACTTTCTCCACTCTCCCATCCTTCTCTAGGCGGAAATACGCCTGGACTCCCTCTACGTAATCTTCTACTTGCATGGTGCGATTGTCCGCAAGGATACTGACTACAGCGTCTGCTAACTTTTGGACCTTTAACTGCAACTTCAACTTCTGCAGCGCTTTCCTACTTATGTAACTACGAGTGGCTCCACTATCTACTAAGGCGCCTACTCGACCTCTAAAAATCTTTGTATCTACCAATATAAGCTGTTCCTTATTCTCTTTTTTCATTTTGGCCCGGGCGCGCACCCTCTCCTTCAACTCTTCGGCCACGCCTGTGAGGGAGGTGTCTAGAGAGACTCTGACACAAGCAGTCTCTGGGCAGCTGTCTAGACACCGGCCTGCAACCTCTGTCATAGGCACATGTGGTGTGGGAGTCTCCTGCCGGCTTACGCTGTTTTCCCCACATGTGGTGTGGTAGGGGCAGTTGCTACCCCTACCGGTGGTTGCCTTTTGGCCCTTGAGCAGCCGTTCGGGTCTCTCTATACTTAGGACAGTATTTGATGATATGGTCCGGGTCACCGCAGAAAATGCACTGGCCCCGGTCCAGACGCTGTTGCCGTAAGCCCTGGTCCAAACCCAAACTTTCCCAAGGCCTACCTTGCGGTAGGCCTGGTGCCATCCACCTACCCTATAGGGAGACCTATTCCTAGGACGGTTTTGCGGGGGACCTTGTCCCCTTCCTCCCGCTTGGCAGTTTCCTCCTCTGCCGCCAACCCCCTGATCGCCCTGAAATCGGCCCCCTGCGGCCCGGCCCCCTTGGCCCTGGCCTCTTCCTCCTCCTTGCGGCCTCCCTCCAGCCGCATCATCAGCATAAGTTCTCACTTGGCTCACACTGCTGTCCTCACCCTCTAATCCCCACTCAATCTGCTCGTAGGGGATCTCGTCCACACTACCCTCATCTAAAGTAAGGACAAGGCTATCCTTAGTGCGGCCCTTCCACTTCTTTCCGTTATCTAAGTCTTTGTGCCAGTAAGTAGAAACTGACACAGACTTCGCCTCGAACGCGACCACCTCCCTGCTGAGTGCATCATAGGTCATAGCAGGGTCCTGGCTCTTCGCAAAGAAGTGGCCACGCAGCGACTCGCGCATAGCCCGGTAGAAGAGGTTGACCAACTGGGTCTCAGTGACCCCGTGGTCAGGAACAGCCACTAGTTCGTCCATTGTGCCTTTGAGTGCCCTGACACTCTTCCACTGACGAGAGTGAATTGTCTGAAGCCTATCTGAGACTTTGACACTACGAGCGACATCAGCAAACCGCTCGCGCAACAATTTCATAAAGTCAACGAGGGGGGTGAATGACGAGTAGGCAACTGCATCATCATTGCAGTCGGCAACGCGGACTAGGGATCTCGCAAAACTGGCAGCTTCGTCTCTGAGCGCATGGATTGCTATCAACACGTGCTGGTCCGGGGAGACCTGTTGCAGGTGGACATAGGTCTTGACATTGGCCTCCCAATTGTCAAAGTTTTCTTCCCTTTTTCCACTGTAGGAATCAGGGAATTTGACTTTGACTGGTTCCCTACGAGGATGTGCTTCTTCCTCCTTGGGAGCTGCCACCTTGACGCCTTCAATGGCGCCGACACAGAAGCGCTCAGTCTTCTCGAGGCGATGATTCACCTCAGCCCCTACAACACCTATCAATTCGTGAGCAAAGTCCGGGAATCCCATCCGCATCGAACGCACGGCGATATCTTGACTCCGACTGAAGTCATATTGTTGTTCTTGCACCCTGGCTAAATGCTCGACGCTCTGGGCAATGATCTCCACTTTACGTTGGAGATCTGCCTGCGGAGTCAATTGTGTAGTTAGGGTCCGCAACTCCGCTAATTCCTCTGCTGCTGCACTCGCCGCGTCCACTCTCCTTTTCTTCTCCCTCATCATTGCGAGTTTCCACTCCATCCTCGTTTCATCTTCCATAGCCTGCCGCTTCAAAACATCTTCTTCTGCTTCTCATTTTTTCATAGCAGCTTCCTGCACATCCTTGGGGATGTACATAGTCACCTCTTCTTCTTCGCCCAGGGATAAGTTGGCGACCCACTCCGAAATCTTTTTCTCCATCTCGTCATCTTTGCGGCCACTGTGCTGCCCTCTCCTCCTCTGCAGTGGCGGTCCCTCTTCTTCTTCTTCTTCCACCTCCTTCAACTTCTCCTCTTCTTCCTTCCTCAACCTCTCTTTTTCCCTGGCCATCTCTTCTTCTATTTTTTTCAACTTTGTCGTCTGCTCCTCTTGTAGGGCCTTCTTCTTGGCCTCTTTCTTCTCTTTCCTTTCCCTCAGAATGGCGGCCATCTTCTCCTCCTCCTCCTTCATGTACGGCTGGGTAGAAGTGCCACCCCGGTCCCTACTCTACACGTAAAAGTGGGCTAGAAGCCCAGAGGAAAGAGGAGACGCCAGAGGGTCCCCCACAAGGAGAACCCAACAAGTAACCCATACATCGAATAGTCGTCCATGGTGGTGTCAGGTGCACGATGAGAAGTCCCACTCCTCACCACTTAGACCTACCCGGACACTGACCCACTGACTGACTCTCTAAGGACCACAGGGTAGAACCCTATCAACTATGGCCACTAACTAAATCTACTCTAAGGCTGTCACTACTGAACCAACAACTGATCTGGAGGCATTTAAGGAGATCCCCCGTAACTCCTCAAGAATTGTTTAACGTCGCGGTCAGGACGACGTGACCAGCGCGGTTCTGCCTGTGCTTTCAACCCACAACTCAACCTTTCCGGCCTACTGTGCCACACCGAGCAGCCCGCCGGTCTGTACCGGTCCTTGGAGAGGTTCGTGTCCCTCGGAACAGTCGAGTCGTCAGACACAGATCATCAACCTTACTGGGTCCGATAGGGGGGTGGTTCAAACAGGCCCTCAACACTTAAGGACTGCCTGGTGTGTCATCCCTAACTGTCGTTCAAGCCCACTGTGCTCTACCAACCGTTTCCAGCCGGTCGGTACCGGTCCTTGGGAGGGTTATGCCCCCCTGGAAAGTTGGATCAGCCACAGCCTCAACTCTACAAGGTCAGACTAGGGTTTCGTCATCCAAACCCTATCCTTCATCCACAGTGTACTAGCACCTAGGACAGAAGAGACTCAATGCAGAAAGAAGAGACAGACAGACTCAGACTCAGCAAGTACCATGGGGTAAGTGCACATCCACATGGTAAGGGGATAGGCTGAGGGCTCGGCGAGATATTACCGGCTCCAACTTGGTCAAAATCTTGGTCAGCAACTCCGATCAACACCTTGGTCAACGCTAAGTCGACACGAACAACCCTCGGTCAACGCCCTGGTCAACCCCCCGGTCAACGCCTGGTCAACCCTCTGGTCAACGCCTGGTAAACCCTCTAACTCGGCTATGGCTGCCGGGACCTTCACCTTCTTTTTCCCCACTGTCTTTCTTCTTCTCTCTTTTTTTTTTTTCCACCCCCGGCTATGTCTGTCTTCTTCTTCGATATCCCTCCTTCCACACTTCTCTTTCTCTCTCCTCCGTCCCTCCTTCTCTGTCCGCCCTCTCTCTCTCCTTCGGTACCCTGTGATGATGCTCCGCGGTTATGGCCGCTTTCTTCCTCCTCCGTCGGACAACGCAGCTCGCTTCACAGGTAAGTGACAACCAATCTTGGATCGCTCATCTCTCTCTCTCTCTCTCTCTCTCTCTCTCTCTCTCTCTCTCTCTCTTTCTCTCTCTCT